TCCTCTCCTCCGCCTCCTCCATCATCTCCTCCTCCTCTTTCTTCCTCCTGGTCGCAGTCTCCTCCCCCACAGCACCCCTTCCCCTGAAACCCCCCTTCCTTCCTGCCTCTCCCCTGCCCTGGCCTTCAGCATCACCCACTTCCGTATTTCCCCTTGGTGACCCTCCTCTGTTCCAGGAGTTATCATGCGCTGTTCATCTCCGTCTTTCATCCGTACTTAGCTGGTCGCCCACTTTTCCTTCCAACACTCACCTTCCCGTTGCCCAGTCTTTTTCACTCTCTAGCCTCCTGGTGGTCACCACCTACCTTAACCCGCCCTCTGCCCTCCTTTCTGAGATCTTTGCTGGCCTGGAGTGAGGAGACGGGGAGCCCCACAGGGGAAGGGCTTGCCCCTGACTCTGTGGCTCCTGAGCTAAGCGTGTGGCCTGCCCCTTGCTGGGGTGCGGCACAGGGGGATCCACAGAGACGTGGCCTCACCCAAAGGGTGACCGGAGCCCTTTAGCACCGGACAGCCTCGTGGGCCCAACTGTGAACTGGGTCAGGTCTAGCTGTCTCCTCCTCAAGCCTTACATTCATGGTGTCAGGAGTTACACTGGATTGACTTGAATCTGGACTCTATTCCCCAGAGCCAACTGACCTTTAAGATCTGAGTTTCCGAGTTACTAAAGTACACAACAGCAAGATGTCCCCCTCCCTGTTGGGGACAGAATTTAAACGTGGAAATGAGCAGATGTGTGCAGAAGGCTGGGGTTTACTGTAGTCCCTGAGATAAGGAACTTCCTGGGGACGGAGGGCAGTTGGGGGGTGTGGAATCGATGCCTAATAAATATCCAGTCACTACCAACAGAAAGGTTTCTTTTATTGCCACCGATCATCTGTGAACTTACAAATGCCCTTCTGGGGCCAGGAGTCTGCCGGCCTTCTTGGCTAAAAGTAACTGGGTGGTGTGAAGTCTGAATCTGAGCTCCCAGTGCTGTCCTTGTTCCTGCCAGGAGGGTCTGAAGCTGGGATCAGGACATCAGGATCTTGGGCTGTCTCTTGCTTAGGCCTAGCCTCTCAGAGGGCTCACAGCTGGCTTCTTACAGAACAGTCTTCCTGGAGGAGGGGGTGAGGGAGGGCTGGAGAAGTTCTCTCATCGGCCTGGTTTTCTTTGCATTTTGATGGGCTTGGACTTGAGTGATTAACAAGGCTGATTTAACTTAACAGGTGCTTGTGAAATTATCACCATCTCACTCTTAGCATATGTAAAAAAAATAAATCTTGCTCCTGAGAGACAGAGTTTTAAGAGTTCCACTTAGGGACTTAGCTCAGTGATGGGGAAATTCCTTTCCTAAAAGTGCTTGTTATCACACTGATGAGAGTTTCACACTGAGTTTCAGGAATCCTGGGTTCTGTTTTGGAGATGGCGCTAGACAACACACCTTTCCTCTGGATTTTCCTCCCTTTTCTTAAAGAGGAAGGAAACAGCTGCCAATTTACAATAGAAGTAGAAAACAAGAGGAAACAAAGAGTCTCAACATCCAGTAGAGCCAGCCTCTTTCTCTGCTGTGTCTGAGAAGAAATTGAGAACACATAGAGGGAAAAATGTAGTTTCTAACCTCCTTGCTCTGGTATTTTTCTTAGAAACATAAAAATCCCCGTGAATATTCAGCAGGTGTTTCTGACTTAACTAAACATTAGAATCAAGTGATTCTTTATCAACCAAAACTGGGGAAAGCCCTTAGGCAGTTAATAAGCAACAAAGGTTTCCCTTTTGCTTTTAGCTTAGCAAGTCAAGAGATAGAAAGATCACTAGAGATATCTGCGTGGCACTGAGTGTTTGGGACTTTCCTGCGCTCTTGGGATCTGTCCTGAGATACCTTCCTTTCCCCACCCACTGCAGTCTGCTGGCTGCTGTGTGATGCCTCAGGTTCTCCCAGTGACCGGCGTGGCCTGGGTGCTCGTGCACTGTGATCGTAAGTGCTGTCCAGCCGTCGTCATCTGTCATCATCAGCCGGTGAGATGAATGCTGACCCCATTCAGCAGATGAAGAACGGAGACTTGGAGAAGAGAAGTGGTCTGCCCGTGTGGGCCTTAATCCTCCGTGCAGCCGCCTCCAGCTTGAACTCAGGACTTCTCTGCTAGGCTCAAGTAGTTTCCAGGCCAAATCAGTGCTCAGGAAGGGAGAGGGTCCACTTTCCCCACTTGATTAGTTGCCCTCATATCTCCTAGGAGAGGAGACAAGAGTACAAAATCAGGGCTCAGAATGTGCTTCTACAGCTGAAAAATGTACAGGATCTCGGGCTGCCTCGTCCCACTGGGTTGGAATAAGCAGGATGAACACTATGTTTCAGATGCTGGGGTTCTGCCCATGACACCTGGGCTCCGATCCACCTTTTCAGTTATTAGGGTCATTGAGGTGCTAGGTGCTGGCCCCGATCTGTGGCAAAACGGCAGGCAAAAGGACTTCTGCATGTGGGAAGCTGAGTCAAGCCTGGAAGGGCTTCTTCCATCCTACCCCTATCCTATAATCTTACAGCCCCACGAGTGAGGCAGCAGGCAGTCTCCAAGCCGGGAGGCAGAAAAAACCTGTGTCCACCATGATTTTGACCCCAGAGAACCTACTTCCTGATCTTAGTATTGGCCTAACTCTTGGTAGAGGCAAGACAGATTAAATAAGAAGGATGAGGTGCTTGAGAAAAGCAAGGCAAAGTAAAGAGCATCAGTTTTAAAGGCTCTTTGCCATTTTTAAGATGCTCTTTGATCTGGCTTTCCTCTGAATAAAAGATGTAGGAGTTAAAGGAGAGTGAGCACGTTAAACTATTCAGCAAAGTACATAGTGCAGGGCTTGAAGGCAGGTGAAGTCTGGGTCCTTGGCTGTGAGACTTGAGTGCCATATCCAGCCTCTCTGGGCTTCATCTTTCTCCTCTGTGAAATGGAGATGGTAGCACCTCCTGTGGATGGCGTGGTGTAGGTGGTGGGGCTGCTGAAGTGAGCCGACAGCCCTACGGCAGATGACACACTGCTGGCCTCCTGAGAGGTGAGACGGTGGTACAATGGGAGAGGAAGGCACGATCGCAAAGGGTGTCCCAAGCCAAGAGCTGTCTGAAATGGCCCGAGACCGTGTGCGTGTGTTGAGGGAGTTTGAAGGTGTGATATTTATGCTGTATCTTCCTTTTTTCCAGGTTTGGACTTCCTAAAACATCCTTTCATAGTGGCCAAGCCCACCTGCTAATGGGACATCTGCCAGCTCCTCCCCCCGCACCATAGCGACTTTTGCAGAGTAGAGTAGTGGCCTCATCGCCCATCCATGCCAGCTGTGGCAGGACACAAGGAACAGCGGCAGCCATGCCTCCCCCTGCCCTGGCCACCCCTTGCCCTCCACGCTAACCTGCAAGGTGTGGATGCCTATGGGACCCCAGAGGATTGACTGTCTCATCTGGCTTTCTATCCCCAGTAATAAGCCCCCCAAGATGTCACTCGAGTGGCTAGTGGCCTGGAGCTGGTCCCTGGATGGCTTGAGGGACTGCATCGCCAGTGGCATCCAGTCTGTGCGGGATTGTGACACCAGTGCTGTGGTCACCGTGGCCTGCCTGCTGGTCCTGTTTGTGTGGTACTGCTACCACGTGGGCAGGGAGCAGCCACGGTCCTACGTCTCTGTGAACTCACTCATGCAGGGTGCTGATGCCAACGGGCTGCAGAACGGTTACGTGTACTGCCAGTCACCCGAGTGCATCCGCTGCACCCACAGCGAGGGCCTCAACCAGAAACTCTACCACAACCTGCAGGAGTATGCCAAGCGCTACTCATGGTCCGGCATGGGCCGCATCCACAAGGGCATCCGTGAGCAGGGCCGCTACCTGAGCAGCCGGCCTTCCATCCAGAAGCCTGAGGTCTTTTTCCTGCCTGACCTCCCCACCACGCCGTACTTCCCAAGGGACGCACAGAAACATGATGTCGAGGTGCTGGAGCGGAACTTCCAGACCATTCTGTGTGAATTTGAGGCCCTCTACAAAGCTTTCTCAAACTGCAGCCTCCCACAGGGGTGGAAAATGAACAGCACCCCCAGTGGGGAGTGGTTCACCTTTTACTTGGTCAATCAGGGCGTTTGCGTCCCCAGGAACTGCAGGAAGTGCCCACGGACGTACCGCTTGCTGGGAAGCCTTCGGACCTGTATTGGGAACAATGTTTTCGGGAACGCGTGCATCTCCATGCTGAGCCCCGGGACTGTGATAAACGAGCACTACGGGCCCACAAATATCCGCATCCGGTGCCACTTGGGTGAGTTGTGAGGACAGGGTCCCCGGGGCGCAGTCATGTCACAGCCTTTCTGAGCAGGGGATGTGAACGTCGGGGAGCTCAGACAGCTAGAATTACACGTTTGCTTCCTTGTGCTCTTATTAAAAATTGATAATCGCTGAGCGTGGTGGCGCACGCCTGTAATCCCAGCACTTGGGAGGCTGAGGCAGGAGGATCGCTGTGAGTTCGAGACCAGCCTGGGCTACGTAGTGAGTTCCAGGTCAGTCTCAACTACATAGTGAGACCCTGTCTCAAAAAAAAAACAAAATTGATAATCATATGTAAACAATTATGATAGCAGAAATTGCATCCCCAGTGAAACCTGAGGTTAGTATAAGCCCAAGCTTTTCCTTTTCCCTTTCTTTCCTTCCTTCCTTTTTTTTTTTTTTTTTTTTCAGCACTAGGGATTGAACCCAGGGCCTTTGCACTGAGCTACATCCCCATCCTTTTTTTATTTTTATTTTGAGACATGATCTTGGCAGCATTAATTGCCAAGTTGCCCAGGCTGGGCTCAAACTTGCATTCTTCCCGCCTCAGCTTCCTATAGCGCTGGGATTACAGATGTGAAGGTGCGCAGCACATCAGGCTTTTTCTTTTTTCCTTTTTGGGCAGTGCTGATGAAACCCAGGGCCTCGTGCATGCTCAGCACGTGCTCTACCCATGAGCCAGATACCCAGCCCTAAATCTCATTTCTGACAGCAGCCCGTAAGGAGACCATCCTGTGATGATGAAAGTGTTCGCTGCCCAAGGTCGCACCCACTAGCCTCGGTGACTGTTCAGTGCTTGAAATGTGGTTAATGCAAGTCTGGAAGGCAGATTTGTGGAAGAGTGCTTGCCTAGCCTATGTAAGGCCCTAGATTCTATCCCCAGTGCTGAAAACAAATGTACAAAATGGCCAGCACAGCTGAGTAACTACTTTTGACTTGAGCAATCATGGTCACATAGGGCTAGTGACCACTGTCTTTTTTACCATCGCTGTAGAGCCAAAGGTAGTTATAAAGATCACTGAGGACCTGAAGAAGTTCAAGACTGTGCAAGGTGCTTGCACTTCTTCAGTCACTAAGGAGGAGCTGATGCTTGGTGTTACGGGTGTTTTACTCAGATCCTGGCAAAATTGGTAATACATGTACTGTGTGTGGATACCAGTAGTTTTGCCCACAGCGTCTGGAGTTAAGTCACCTTCGTTTGCACCCTCGCCTTACCACCGGCTAACTGTCACTTTGGGCAGTGTGCTCATGCTCTGAGCCTCTGTTTCCTCTTCTGGAAAGTGGAGGTTGAAAGATTCTCCTACTTGGAGTTAGCCTGAGGATCCACTCTGAGTGTGTGTGTATTGAAAGTGTTTGCACAGCCTGGTACAGGGCCAGCCATCGGTAGTGGCTGGATACCAGCAGCTCCATCAGTAGGGCAGCAAGTCCTCCAGTGCTGCGAGGCCTGATGCCTGGGGAGTGGAGGTGGAAGGGTGGCTGCCGGATGGCAGCCTCGCTGGTGAGCGTCCTCATTGGCACAAGTCACGGCACCCAGCTTTCAGAAGCGCCACCACCGCCTTCGGGTGCGGGTGGAGAGGACAGCAGGAGGGTCCTTGTGTGGACTGCAGTGGGTCCATCAGTGTGTCCTCTGTGGTTGTTTTGTAGTCCTGCGGGTAGAACCCAGGTCCTTGAATCGGGGATATACCTGGGCCAAAGACTTGGCACTTCTACTTTTCCTCCCTAAGCCAGAGAGGATCAGGCTGATTTGGGAGGCGACTCTGAAGAGCTGTACCACCGAGCCACACCCTCAGCTCTTCTTATTTTGAGATGGTTTCTCACTACATTGCCAGGATGGCCTTGAGCTTGTGATGCTCTTGCCTCAGCCTCCTGAGTATCTGGGATTACAGGTGTGTGCTACCGTGCTGACTTCTTCAGTGTGCTCTGCGGGAAGCCTCAGGGCTGCCAGGGCGCGGTCAGAGCAGGGTACTGTAGGCCCCGCACCCCATCTGTACCCACAGGGGCTCTGCTCCCCCTGCTCTCTTCTGTGCTGTGGGTCCAGATCCTGAGTAGGATGTGGTTTGACAGGAGACTTTACTTATTAAAAAGAGAAGAGGGGAGTCGATGGAGCCGCTGACCTGGCATTGCAAGAGTCAGTGCCGGGCCGGGCAGGTGCAGTGGCAGGGTCTGGACTCATGGGCCGCTGTGAGCCTGGGCAGGTGGCTGAGGGTCTCCGGCCTGCAAAGTGGAGACTGAGTGCTTCAGGGCTACTGAGAGGGCTGGAGGAGTCACGTCTTACGTGGCCACTGGCACAGTTCCGGACGTGTGACAGCATTCGGTAAACAGTGTAAGTGAAGATCTGTGTGACATGGCCTGTGCACTTGGGAAACAGTGGGACAGGAGCAGGCGTGGGAGGCAGCAGACCCCAGCGCAGGTCCCACTCACCCCTGCTTGCCCGGTGCACCTCGCGTGGCCTGCACCTCCACCTCTCCCTAAGCTGGAGGGCATCAGACCTATCTGCGGCGCTGCCGTGAGGGGCAGATGTAGTAGGTGCGAACTACTCGGTAGACTGGGATGTCAGATAATCTGCAAGGCAGATGTTAACCCGAGTGGTGACCATGGTCAGTAACCCCTGGGCGAGGCGCCAGGGCACGCTCTGAGCAGCGGGCACACTCCGGACGGGGTGTCAGGGCAGTGGGCTGCCCTGGAGGGGTGCGGAGGAGCCAGGCCTCCCCATGCGGTCTTGTGGCAGCTGTGTCTGTGTTTTGCTGGTGTGGACTGAGGTTGGTAGGATGGTGGGAGGAGCACAGGGGGACTCAGTGCTGGGCAGGGCACTTGAGGCTGTTGGCAGTGGGGAGTGATGCTTTTCATTTCAGAGGTTTTCCTTTAGTTCCTTTGTTTTGTTTTTTGTGATTCTGGGGAGTAAGTCCAGGGCCTCGTGCATGCTAGACAAGCATTCTACCACTGAGCTGCATCCACAGCCCCTGCATGCTTTCCCGAAAGCTTCGTAAGGATGGCGAGGGAAAGGCGTTTGAGGATCGATGGGGTAGAGTTTCAGGCAGGTGTGTTGAGTAGGAAGAAAAATGGAGGCTTTATTTCCTGTGTGTTAATGTGCCTTGTACACCTGTATAACGTAAGCCTGTATACGTAAACACACCCATGTGGACCTCTTCACAGCCTGTCGTTTTCTTCTGGCCCAGCTAGTTAACTGCCGAACACAGTGCTGAGTGTTCCCTGTACAGCCAGGATCCTTCCTGGAAGCCGTCCCACTGGTGCGGCAGGTGCCCAGCCTGGAGGTCAAGTTCTCTCAGAGTTTCCTGCTTTACATGATCGGGCCCCTGTTAATGTGCACCCAGGAAGAAAGTGGAAGTGTGTTAGGTTCCTGTGACCACGTATGGTGACAGAGAAGGAATCAGGAGGGCAGAGGCGGAGGCAGAGGAGACACCTGCAGTCCCAGAGCTGCGTTCTGGAGATGCCAGTTCCTCCTCTCCTGCTCCTTGCTGGGTTGGGCAGTGATGGATGAACTTGTCCGTGAAGGCCATGGCAGCCCCCACCACGCCCCTCACTTACCCCTTCTGCTGGTTTGGTCCTCATTTGCTGAGCCCTGCTGTGAGCTGCCTCGAGGGGAGTTGTCACCACTCTATGTGGGACTACAGGACAACTCACGACCCAGCCATCACCCGGCAGGTTACACAGCGCTGAGATGTGGCCTCTGTGCTGCCCGACTCCCAGAAGCCACCTCTGAGACCTAGAACTTGGCAGGCAGCTGCCACTGGGGGGACAAACACCACACGAAAATGCATGCATGTGCTTAGCAAAGTCCGGCCCGCGAGCACAATCAGGAGCCCCTTTGTCTTTTCTGTAGACACTAGGTTTCTAGCAGTGGCTCGGGTGGAACCAGGATCAGCTCGAGTGTACCTGCCCCTCCAGTCTCCTGAAGCGGGGACCACTGGAGGCCAGAGCCCTTTCTCCTCCCTCTTCCTGCATCCTTCTGGGGTCAGTGGGATCGGAGCAGCAAGGCGTAAGCCATAGAGGGGCTATCCAAGGCTTGTCTCTGTCCCAAGGGTCCCCAGATAATCTGGGGCAGCCTTGCCAGCTAAGCCGGTTGTTGGGCCTTCACAGTGTTGGGCCATTGGCAGGCTGGAGCAGGATAAGGAGGACAAGAAGCGGGTAGGGCGTTCCTCTCTTGCACCACTTAGCGGCCCAGAGAAAGGGTGGGCTCCTTCTGAGACCCTGGGCTAGACTGTCCCTGCACAGAGCTCCACAGTCCTGAAGGCCTCTGCCTGTGCCAGCCCACACCGGCCTGCAGAGCACCTGCGGCTGGCAAGCTGAGCACCTCCACACCCTTCACGCCCCCAGCTGCGGGTGACGGAGCAGGAAATCACGGTTTCAGGGCCAGACGGATGGTCTCGGTTTCTTTAGTGAGATGAGCTGTTGAGAGTTAAAGCATGCTAACCCTGTGAGGTTGAGCAGTCAGCTCACTGCTGATGACCTGTACCTAGCAAGCAGATGTTATCACAGCACCCAGCTTCATGAGAGGCTGTTCTTTGGAACCAGATGGACTCAGGGCCAGTGAAGACTAACTAGTCACCTAGAAGATCACACAAACTGCTCAATTACTCTGTCTGGAATGATGAAGTGATGTCTGAAAAGTGTTTAATTAGCACAAATCTGTGTAATCAGTCTTTGGTTGTTGGTGACAAGGATAAAAGTCACATGGCAGCCTTGCCAGTTAATTATGCTAACGTGGCCTCTTTACAAATGAGCAAGGTAGCACTCTGAGAGGTTGAGTTATTTGCCCAAAGTCACACAGCACATGAGGGTCAGCATCCGAAGGGTAGTCTGCTCAGGTGCTCCACTAGTGGTGCCAGGAAAGTGACACTAAGAGCTCCCATCCTTGGGCCTCCAGTTGCTTTTAAAGGTGGAAACGGAAAGAGGTAAGCACCCCACAAACCTGTGTTTTTAAACGCAATGGAGGCAGCCGTAGGGATGGGTGAGCAGTTACTGGACAAGGCAAGTTTGAGCCTGGCTTCCTTGATTTCCTGGGATCCAGGAGTCTCAAGGGTGGAGCATGAGCCTCAGGCCTGGCTTTCATCAAGGAGAACAGGACTAGGATGATGGAGGCCATGGAAACAGTTTGTGCCCGATGGGGACTCTGGTGCACAGCCTGCATTTGCCTTAGCAAACTCCCTACTCCCATACAGGCATCCCCATCCAGGTGAGCTGCTAGGACAGAATACCACGGACCAGGTGACTCCAAACCAGAGATGTATTTCTCACTCTTCTGAGGCCAGAAGGCCAGGTCAAGGTGCTGGCAAATTGGGTATCTGGTGAGGCTGAGGTCCCACATCTGATTCGTAAATGATACGTATTTGCTGTGTTCTCAAGGGGCAGACTCCCTCACATCCCGTTTATAAGGGTATCCGTCCCGTCCTCAAGGGTGCCTGCCCTCAAGATGTCATCTCCTCCCAAAGCCCTGCTTTCTAATACTGATATCTTAGGGTTTCAACACAGGAGCTGTAGGGGACACAGACGTTCAGAGCTGTGGAAGCTGAAGGCCTCCCAAAGTGACTTCACTCTCTTCTGTGTTCTCCCACTAGGTCTGAAAACTCCCAGTGGCTGTGAGCTGGTGGTGGGAGGTGAGCCTCAGTGCTGGGCAGAAGGCCGCTGCCTCCTCTTTGATGACTCCTTCCTGCACACTGCATCCCATGGAGGTAGGGATCGGCCTTCCTCATTGCCTTTTTTTTTTAATCAACAGACTGTGTTTTAAGATAAATTTTAGGTTTCCAGAAAAAACCAAGTATGTGCCTTCCCATCCACCCTCCTCAGAGAATGCGTGCGCATACACACACGTTTAATTTCTAAGTCTGTAGTAATGGTATAATTGACACATTATCACCTGAAGTCCACAGTTTACATTAGGGTTCATTCTTGTTTGTTTTTCAGTACCGGGGATTAAACTTGGGACTTTGCACTTGCAAGGCAGGCAGCAGAACCATTGAGCTAAACCCCTGGCCCAACATTAGGTGTTATTCTTGAATTTCCCTCTGGGGGTTGGAACAAGTATATGTCATACAGAGTAGCTTCCCTGCTATATTAGTCATCTTTCCATTGCTAGAATAAAATACCTAACACAGCTTAAAAGGAAGAAAGGGTTATTTCGGCTCATGATTTCAGAGGGTTCAGTCCATGGTCAGCTGGCTCCGAGGTAGGAATCATATGACCAAAGGGTGGGGTGGAGCAGAGCCGCTCACCTCATGGCAGCCAGGAAGCAGGGAGCAATGGGACAGCCAGAGAGAGAGGAAGGGGCTGGAGATAAGCACACAGCCTCCTGGGTCACGGCCCCAGTGACCTGCTTTCTCCATCTAGGACTCACCTCTTTAGCAGGATAATCAGCTGTTGACTCATCCACACGAGTCCCCACTTCACAAAGCCCCACTTCAGAACTGAGCCTTTTGGGGAGGACACTCCATATTTAAGTCATAACAATTGCCGACAGTGTCCTCTGTACCCCACCCAGCCAACCCTGCCTCCATCTTCCTGATCCTTCTCCCCGCCTTGCTCAGAAGCCATATGCACATTTCCAGTCAGAGAAGGGGGGTCTTCTCATCTTCTAGTCCAGGCCCCTGTGCCAGGGTCTTGGCCTCAGCAGGCTGAACCTCGCTCTCTCCTGCAGGTTTGGCCGAGGATGGCCCACGGGTGGTCTTCATGGTGGATCTGTGGCATCCCAACGTTGCAGCTGCTGAACGGCAGGCCCTGGATTTCATCTTTGCCCCAGGACGATGAGAAAATTACCTGTGCAGGAGCTGGTGAGGGGCAGGGAGCCCAGGTGGCCACAGGATGGTTCAGCCATGCCCGAGCCTGGATTCCATGCCCGGAAACCTATCTCATTGGAACCCTCTCCTTGGGTTTCCTGTCATATGGGATCCCTCTTTCCTTTGGATATTGTAAATGGGAAATTTTCAGCTTGTATTTCCTTTGATTTCAGTCATTGCTCTGGAGATTGCTTTCTGGCCTACCAGTGCATCCTTTTGACTCTGACCAGTGACTTGGTACCTGTTGGTCTTGTTCCATTGCTACATGTTTTTTTTTCAGTGTTCTGAAATAGAGTAACCAAACAGTTTCCAGTCTGAATGTCATCATGTAAAACTTCTTGTAGTCATCTTCAAAGGAAAAACAGAACACAAGCCAGAGAGCTGGAGAGCTTGCCTCTGATGCTGGCGTACAGGAGGCCTTTACTACCCCAGGCAGGGACAGTTTGGGTCCGTGCTCCAGGCCGGCTTCGTTAGTGTGGGGAGGGGCTGCCGGACACTGTGAGAGCTGGTGTGCGGAGTCAGGGCCGGGGAGACCGACACCATCACTGTCTCGCTCCAGACTGTCAAGTCCCAGCCGGCAAGAGTGCTGGGCTGCAGTGACCAGAGGCCTTTCTGTGACTGCGCTTTCCAACTGAGCTGAGGCCTGTGTCCTGAAGAGTAAGGCCGGGGCTCCCCCAAGTCAGCCACAGAATGGGATCCATTTACCTCACTGCCCACAGAGCCTACTGCCACACTGGGCCTTGACGCTTCCCGCTGTAGGTGCTTTGAGTCCAGAGTGGTGGAGGTTACACTGTCAGGTGGGCTAGTCAGAGCTATGCTGGGCCTCGTGATTGCCTGATGACAGACATTCCAGGAACACCCTTCCCTGGCAAACTGGAGTCCTAAGTCTGGTGGTGTCTGACTTGCTTTGCAATTCTGTTTCCTGATTTTCACTTACCCGTCTTTAGGTAAGTGTTCCAATGCTACAGTTGGAGACAGTAGAAGGGCCAATCCTGGGTCTTTCTCGTTGCACGGGGATATGTGCACTTCGTCATAGTAACCCAGGCCAGTATATACAAGGAGCCCTGGTCCCTGTGCTGGCTTTGTGGTCTCCTGTGAAGGACACTCAGATCTTATTCCAAAGCAAAGGGCCCCCACAGGCCAGTTTGAGGTCCTCAGTCAACTAAGTCGCTCCTGGCCACATTAGAGATGCCTTTTGGAAGTGTCCAGCCTCATTCTAGCGAGCCTCGGAGTGGATGGAACGTACTGCTGTCACGGGCCCTGAAGTGGTGTTTCTGTCTGGTGCAGACCCACAGCTGCTGGGAGAGGCAGCTCTCGGAAACACCATCTGAAATGTACTAGGTAGTTAGCAGCCCGTGTGCACAGGTCACGTCTGTGGTTGAGTTTTAAAACATCTACCCAGATATGTTCCAGTAACTAGAACGCAGAAAATGGCGGAAATTTCCAACACACCTGAAGTCTTCGTGCCCATTCAGTCTCTTGTTACAGAACCACTCAGGTGCATGACTTCTACACTTAGTGACTGTTCTGCTCCATGTTTACAAAGCCACCATCCAGTTCCCCGCCCCCGGTCCTTTGGGACCTGGCTGCCACACTCAAGTGGCACGATTGGGGAGCAGAAGATAAATAAAGGATCTTGCTGAAAACCAGAGTAACGTGGTAAAGTCGTCTGTTGGAAGGAAGATGGGGCCTGTGTGTAGCTTTTGGTTGGTGAATCCTGTCATGGAGACAGCTGGGCCACCACAGCGGATGGTGAATACCAAAGGAAGCCAAGTGTGCTTCTAAAATTATGTGCATGGGGGCGCCGAAGTTTAGCTCAGTGGTTTCGCAGCCTGCCTCACAAGCACAAGGTCCCAAATTCAATCCCTGGTACCAAATAAATGAAATAGTGTGCATGGGGCAAGGGACTTGCGCTCACCTTTGAAATACTAAGGAGCTACAGATAACAAGCAGGCAAAAGTAGGACTTTGGTTTTGGTACTGCTAAGGATTTGAGACTCAGCAGCAGCAGTTCACTCCCTTGTCACTTTGGGCAGGTCCTTGACCTTGTAGAGCCTATTTCCTCCTCTGTACAGATAGAACACAGCACGTAAGGGCCTGCAGTGGCGGAAGTAGCTCCTTACCTGCCACAGCAACATCACGGGGTAGAGAAACAGGCACAGGAAGAGTAGTCCATTTCCTCCCTTTGTCTTAGAAGAGGGGTCTAAGTGATGCTGGAGGCCAGGAGCCCCGGCAGCAGCCTGGCTCCTGGCATTTTTGCAAGCACGCCTAGTCCCGGCAGTACTCCCAGCCGGGCTGCTGACACAGGTAGAAGAAAAGCGCCTTTCGCGTGAGACAAAATGTTTCTCACCCTCCTAGTGTGTGCACTGCCAGCTAGGCAGTTGCTCAGGTAATTTATGTGTTCCAAGGGATGCTCAAGGTGAGGAAGGGGCACCAGCCACCCCAAGTGCCTGTCAGATGCGCCTTGTGCCCTTGTAGTCATGGCCAGCCCAGAACTTGATTTGCATATGGCCACTCCCAGCTCTCCTGACCCTGAGCCTTTCCTCCAGGTACCTATTTGTCATCCCCCGGAGTCACACCTTCTCTGGGTTGTCTTTGGTGACAGTGATCAGCATGTAACTCTGAGTGCCCTATAGCACATCGCTGGGGAAAGGAAAGGCCCACCTGATCCACTGCTCCTGGACAGAAATGCTGGTGCGCAGCCGTCCCAAACCATCTTCTTTCTGTGTGGTGGGAGTGGGGCCCAGGCAAGAGTATTTTTGTAACTTATTTCCTGTCATCGTTCTAATATGTAGCTGGGGCTGAGGTGACTGCTCTGAGTAGCAAGGACAGTAAGGGCCTAGAACGAGCCAGTTGGAGTCAAGCCCGGGCTGTGTGATGCTGGGCAAGCCCCCAACCCTGGCATCCAGAAGACCGCGCGGTTTCAAACCCTTCTTGCCAACCAGACCCTGAGCAACTTCCTGCAAGAGTGCAGTAGCCCTGTGCTCAGTGCTTGGGTTTTTAAAGTCTGCTACAGCTTCAGCTCCAGGCCAGGCCAGTCAGAGCTCCCTAAGCTCCTGGCCACCCTATCAGGTCTGGGCTGGGCTGTGATACAAGTTCTTTGCTTGGCACTGTTAAGGAGAGGCAACTTTTCATGGGGTGGCATTGGGGACTGAGTGGGAAGAAAACCTGAGAGTGAGCCCCACAGAGGCAACCAGGTCCCACTCTGTACAGATGATCATCTGGATCCTGAGTGCAGCTTTGCCTGAAGCTGGATCGGTCTCTGGGCTTTTCAGTTTCATGAGCCAATAAACTCCCTTTTTTATTTTTGGTACCCGGGATCGAACTTGGGTCCTCGTGCTTGCGAGGCAGGAGGTGGAACCACTGAGCTAAATCCCAGCCATCGCTTTTTTATTCTTTTTTTTTCTTTTTATTGAGTTTATTGGTACAATCTAGGTATACAGTACAGTTACATTCATTATTGGGATCGCTTTTTTATTCTTAAGCCATGTTGGAGCTGTGATTTCTGTCCTTTGTCACCAAAAAGTCCTAATCCATACTGAGTTCCATCTAGAAAATGGACTGGCCTCATGCCTCCTTTCATAGGCTTAAAGTGGGTTTTGGATAATCAGATAATACCTTGTCAAGTTCTGGGAGGGTGGGCGGTACCCAAATGTATTTTTTGGAATGTAAACAGGAATAGCAAAAGCCAAGAACAAAACGCCTTTGTTTTCTTCTTGTGATCCTGGTGATTGAACCCGGGGCCTCACATGTGACAGGCAAGTGCTCTACCACTAAGCTACGTCCAGCACCTTTTATTTTAAGTTGTCCGGGCTACCCTTGAACTTTCTATCCTCCTGCTTTGACCTCCTAAATAGCCAGGACTGCAGGTGTGTGCCACTGTGCCTGGCCAAAATGCCGTTTTTAATGATCAGTTTGCCCACTGCCAGCCACCTCCCCTAACAGCTGACTCTTGCTAACCAGATGTAAACAAAGGGAACGGGACAGAATAAGGCCACATATTTTAGAGCTTCTGACTGATGGCAGCAAAAATACTCCAGCAGATTGTAACATTAGGTGACAGGAGGCAACACACACCGGGACTGGATTACTTCCCGCCCTTTCCTGAGGACACGTATTGGTTCTAACTTCTTGCTACCTGCCCTGCCCAGCCCTGCCACGTCCATGTATGAGCCACCCCAAAATTCCCATGCACATAACACATGGAAGAGCCAGGCTCGGCCTGCTTGGTGGGACAAGGTCATTTAGCCAGCTGGACGGAGCTGGAACCGGAAGCCAGTTATGCAAGGTTGCTGCTTGGTGCGATTGGCCCAAAGTGGGTTCCACAACCAGATTCAACCAGCCTCTTATCAAAAATATTGGAAAGAAAATGTGTGCACTAACACGTACAGACTTGTCATCGTTCCCTGAACAGTACAGTAAATAGTAAACAACTATTTCCATAGCGTTTACATTGTAGGAGGTAAGTAATCCAGAAAGGATTTGTCTGTGGGAGGAAGTGTGCAGGTTATACACAAATAACCACCGTAAAGCACTTGTGCAGCCTCAGAGTTTGGTATCCACAAGAAAATCTGTCCTCGCAGATACCCAGGGACAGCTGTGTGTCTGCAGGTCTGGACACACACCGGCTTCATTCTGGTGTGCAGAGGGACCCTGAAGAAGCTGGCTGCCTTCTCCACACGTTCCTGGAACCTCTTTTCCTGAGTGCCCACAAGAGGCCCACCCTTGCGTACATCACTTTCTCCTCTCTGCTGAAAGAAAGTAACTGTTCCAGCTTCTATGGCAGGAAGGTGCAGAGCAGATGTGGACCCCGCTCCGGCACTCAGGCCCCTGTGCCCTGCTGCTGTGGCTGGCACCAGCTGGGAAGGCTGGGAGGGCAGTGGAAGGCGGCGCCTGTGAGCAGCCAGCTCGGCTCAGCCCCTGCCGAGCACTCTGCCTGGCCACCAGGAGCACGGCTGCTACTAGTGTGGACCCGAAAACATACTGGCAGCCCTAAAACAGCCTCTGGCTTCCTACTGCCTTCCGAAAAGCAGCCTGGGGGCTGGGGATTTAGCTCAGTGGCACTGCATCTGCCTTGCAGGTGTAAGGTCCTAAATTCAATCCCTGGTACCAAAAAAAAACAGCCTGGATTTCTGGATCACAGCAGCCACAGCTCAGTTCCATTCAGACATTTGGAGATAAGCTTTTTTCACCTTGAAGCCCTTAGAAACTTCGTCTAAAGCTTCCCAAACTAAAGGAGTATGTTGGGAAAAGATGCAGTCTTTTTCCCTAAGCTACGCTGACAGATGTTGCTTTTGCCCCCTACCTTGCCGTCTCCTCACAGAGGGGTCTCGCGGCAGTCAGGATGGAGAAGCAGAGCCAGGGACAGGTACCGCTTGTCCTGCTCCCTGCCCAGGAGGAATCCATTCAGGCGTACGTGTCTGCGCACTTGGGTCCAGCAGGCGGTGTACTCCCGCTGTATGTCACCGTGCCTGTCCGCCGTCGGTCCCCTGCTCACTCCGTGAGCTCCTCGGGAGCAGGAATCTCCTTGGCTCCTTTCCCACTGCAGACTGCCTGTAACCAAGCAGGCTCACTGCGTCCGCTCCCGGCCTCCTGCTTGAGCGCTCATTCCTCAGATCTGCCCTTGGTGCAGCCCTTGCCGGCTCCAGGACACTGACCCTTCCACCTGGACAGCTGCAGCCTGTTAGTGCCTTGCTCTCTCTTGCTGGCTTCTCACCTGGCAAGAGCTGGGGACTCCTGCTGAGAGAGGCAAGCCATCCTGCTTAGTCTCCCCTTTGCCTGGCACCTCTTCTGCTGTCCACCGGGCACTCCATGCTGCACTCCTTAAAGAGGGAGGTTGGAGGACCAGAGTAGACAGCAAGTTTGCAGATGGATGTTTTAGTTTCCTGTGGCTGCTGTAACAAAATGCTATAAACTTGGTGGCTTAAAGCAACTGAAATTCATTCTCCGTTCTGGAGGCCCCAAGATTCCACATGACCTCTGCAGGCGCCAGGACAGAATCCATTCCTTGCTTTTTCCAGTATCTAGTGGCCTCAGGCTTCCTAGACTTGTGTCCCTTCCATCTCTGCCTCCCTATTCACATGGCCTTCTCTGGGGGGCACATTTCTGTCGGCATCACCCGTGGACACTCTGTGATGGCATCTGTAGCCGGCCGGGCTGGATAATCCTGATAATCCTCCATCGTAAAATCCTAACTCCATCACACTGCACAGACTACCGCACCAGGAGCAGGAATGGGGACCTGTCTTAACCCTCTGCCCTGAAGCAGTGGAGGATGTGTCCGTGCTGACCCACTTAGGGTCTCGGCAGTAACTGGATGGAGTGGGAGGGGCATCTCAGCCACAATGGAAAGGAGCACACGGGTAAAATGCAGCAGAGAGCTGCCAGCAAGGGTGACTGCAACACAGTCCTAGTCTCCACTTGCTGCCACTACCCATGGCGCCTACTGTTGAGGGGAGGAGAGCAGATGATGCTCAGATGCCTCCCTCCTTGCAGACTCCAGGAGGCAGACTGATTAGGCTGTTTCCCTGGGGTCCAGAGGTTCTTTCCCAGTGGGAATCTGACAGCTGCTATTAATCTCTCCTGGGAACGTGATCCTTGCTGTTCACAGGTGGTAGCAGCAGGGACTGATCCAGAACAGAGCCTCTCAGCCCTTCCCTCCTGTGTTGTCAGCTGTGCGGCCTGCGGTCTGGGTTGTAGTGGCACTCTGGATGTCAAATGTGACAACAGGGCAGGCCATCCTGCAAATGCCTTCCTCCCACACCCACAGAAGGGTGCAGTGCTCAGTGCAGCAGGACAAAGCTGTCAAGGCCGCACGGAGCTGCTGTTCTGAGGGCACCTCACTCTCAAGAGGTTAATTTTGAGCATAATGAGCCTGGACCTATGAGTAAGCCACATCTTCAGAACACCCCCCGGGGCCTTCAGATATTGGAACAGGAAGCTGGGATTTCAGTGTTCATTTCCCAGCAGTCTCCAGGCCACAGTCACCAGGATCTGAAGATTCTGGCCCAGCCGCCAGGCCCCCGGGGCCCTAAGTGGACTAAGCGGTGCCTCTGCTGTGGAAACAAAGCAGGACCAAAGCTTTAAAGCCAAGAGGACGGCATCCTGTTTCAGGACTTGACTTTTTAAGTTAAGTGCTGCTGGATACGCTTTAGGGACCCCCTTTCCATACACAAGAGACGGGATACAGAAGCTTCCATCTTGGCTTTGGAAGAAGGTTCACAACACAAATGCATGAGAAAGCTGTCCTCTCTGGTCTGGCACTGGGGACACCGATGGGAAGACTGGCGCCAAGGGCCTCAGACACTTCAGGGGCGGAAGCCGCTCCACGTGCCCACAGGCTGTGTAATCAGAATGTGAAGGGCCCTCTCCCCTCCTCCTGCACCTCATCCCTGGGGGGGTATCCTAGGGCCACCTAGGAGGTCTGGCTGGGACCTCTTCCCTGCTACTGCCTTGCCTCCAGCCTCTACAGATGTTTCCTCAGACTACAGGGAGAGACCCGAGCCCGGAGGCTTCTACTGAGTCACTGGCCCCCACAAGCTGGCACGGTGGTATGAGGGAGGCTGACCGCAGGGTCTGGGGGCACTGTGGGGAAAGCCTGTTCTCAGACGAGGGTGCCATGCCACGGGAGCACCCGGGATGCTGGAGACTGAAGAGATACCGGGGAGGGCCTGGAGAGCAGCAGAGACCCAGCTGAACATTCACTGCAGCTCTGCTCTGGAACTTGTGGAAGGAAACTGCGGGAGGGTTCCGTGTTTCCTTGTCTGGCCCGGTTCACCGCAGAGGGATGCAGGTGACTTTGCTCCCCGCCGAAGCTGTCTGAGCGCAGTGTGCCCTGCTACAGCTCTGTGGGTACTGGGTTCATGGATGGGAGATGGGTCACCTACAGCTGCACAAGTTACACCCGCCTCCAGAGAGGCGTCATACACACGTTTATCACCCGGCGCTTTCCAAGGGCCAAGATGCTCAGAAGTGGCTTGGGTTGGGGTCTGGTTTGGTTTCCTCTGCAGCTGCAGTCAGGCTGTGGCTGGGGCTGTGATCTGAGGCTTGACCACTGCTGGAGGCCCTGCAGGTGCTGCGGCTGCTGGCCGGAGGCCCGAGCTCCTTACCGCCAGGCCTCACATGGTGCTGCTCGCACATCCTCAACACGTCGCAGCCAGCTTTCCCAGGAATGAGTAAGCAGAGACAAAAACTTCCTTGTGCTCTGTAACCCACCCTCAGAAGTCAGGTCCACCATCTTTACCCCCTTAGCTGCAAGTGAGTAAGTACAGCCCACACTCAAGGGAGGGGACCAAGACTGCGAACTTGCAGTGAAGAATTTGTGGACAGAATTTAAAATGAGCCCCGCGTGTGGATTTTCATTCTTCGGTGCTTGTGATATCTGTGACATGCTCTTTACTTGGTTAAGCCTCAGCTTTGGAGGAAGCTTTGTTTAGAAACAAGTGCACTTCGTATTTAAAAATTTTTTAAGCTTAAAGCCACCCTATTAGATGGAAAGACCATTTCTGAAAGCAGACCAAATAAGATTAAGATCTGCTGGTGGCTTGGACGTCCAGGGAAGGGCTGAGGGACAGCCCAGAGGCATTTTTGTAAAACAGTCCTCAAACACAAGAAATTAGCTGAGTACGGAACAGCTCTGGGCTCCAAATTCTGTCTACATTTCAATACACAGCAGGTTGTAATTTTACCAAGTTCAAGAATGAGCCTCAGTCAGCGTGGCTGGTTATAGATACCCCCGTGACAGGAAAGGAATGAGCCGTGTGTACCTGTCCTGGGAAGGCCCCTGGGGCTGGCACGGAAGCGTTAATGAACCGTTTCCCGGGAGGACCATCAGAGAGGCAGACAGCGCACACTTATCCCGGCTCGAGGCAGGGTCCTCCTCTACCCGACACGGTGACCATCTCTGGCTGGCCCGTGGCTGGAGGAGCGCCACAGGCCTGGCAGGCTCCCTGGGGTGTGGCTGCAGCTCCTTACCTGGCCTCACTGAGTTCAGGGAAGGAGAAAAGGGTCCCTGGAAAAAAATGCATGGCTGGCCCTCTGTACCATGTAATCTGTATCTAAGAACTCAACTACCACAGAGCAAAGATCCTATGGGGAAAAAGTATCTGTTCCAGACATGTGCAGATGATTCCTTGTCATTATTCCTTAATGCAGTTCAGCGACAGCTTCCACAGAACTCACACTGGATTAGGTATCATGAGTGATCTAGAGATGATTTAAAGAGCACGGGAGGATGTGCTGATTTTACGAAAATACTATGTGATCTGGTACACAGGCCTGCAATATCCTTAGATGTAGATTTTCGCATCCATGGGGGATCTGAGAGCCAGTCCACTGGTACTAAGGGCTGACTTTATACACGCACAGACACACATACTGATAGTCACCTGAACTTTCTCACTGGAAAGGTTACAATTATTCATGGTTTCTGACCATTTTATTTTTAGCCCTTGGAAACTTGTCTCAAGAAAAGACACATTACAAATGAGATATTGGGGCCGCGGATTTAGCTCAGTGGTTCTGGCACCTGCCTTGAAAGTCCAAGGACCAGAGTTCGATCCCCGGTACCAAACAACAGTAACAACAACAAACTGAGATACTGTTCATTGACATGAGATCAGTTAACATCGTTTTCGGCACTTCAGGTCCTGGCAGTAAACACTCAGCTGAGATTCAGCCGCAGTCTGCATCGCACCATCACAAAAGGCCCGATTAGCAGTGGCGGCGCCAATGGGTCCGGAGACACAGGGCCGCATGCCGTTCCCTCATCACAGCCATTGCTGGAGGGCGCAGCCCTACTCTACCCCGTCTTGGACGCTCCTGTGTGGAACGCTCACCAGACACAGACAGAACACAGCCTTTCCTTCCCAAAGGCAGCACAGACCAATTCCCCACGACCCTCCCTCCTGTAATACGGTGACCTCTGTGGCCCCAGCTCCTGCCTGCCCCGCTCAGGGACGCCCTGAGGCACGGTCGTGGGGACAGCCCGGTAACAGACTCACCTCGTCGCAGTGCAGCCAGGCCCCACACACCCACCCGGTTACAGGGCTGAGAACCCACGCGGCACACTGAGCGCCGCCCTGCAGTGCTGCGGCAGCCGTTCGGGGTGGAGCAGAAGCGGCAGGAAATACTAATGCCTCCAGGTGTGGCGGCGGAGGACGGGGAAACCACCCTGAACCTCCCTCACACGAGCAGGCAAGATGCCCTCTTGGCCCGGTGCTGCTGCCATGACTGAGTCCTGTGCCGTGTGCACCGTGTGCAGACCCAAGAACAGCCCCGGGCACGCACCCCGGTCTGCACAGGGGTCACCGAAACCCAAGCAGCATGCTCCTTAAAAGGGACTACTCCAAGGAAAATAAAATATTACAAAAGGCAGAGCTTCCTCTACGGGTGCCGGCTCGGGTGGGCTGCGACCTGGCTCACAGCAAGTTCACCCCGTGCTTTAGCAGCTTCTGCTTGGCTTTGCCCGCGAGGCTGAAGGCTCCGTCCTGTGGGTTCGGGAAGCCGGAGCTCCGGGAGGCGGCCATCAGTGGCTGGAAGTAGGTCTCTTGGGCAGGGCTGCAGCAGGCGTACACAGCCGTGGAGGCGTTCCTGTCAGAAAGGGAAGCAGACAACGGCCCCAGGGGGCCGGCAGGAAGCTTGGCCAGGGGCATCGGGAAGGCGGCCCTGGCACAGCAGCACGCCAAGGGCCATGGTGCGCGGTGTGTGGCTCAGGACTCGCTTTATTCGCCCGAGTCTCAGGCCTCCGTAACAACAGTCGCCTTCCCTTGCTATCTCAAACCGTGTCCCCGCAGGGCCTCAGTTTCCCATTTAGCATGCGTGGAGTCAGGGACCACTGAAGCTCCTCTCCCTCAGACTGCTCTCGTGGTGAGAAGCGAGAATTCTATCCTTTTCTGGCTTCTCCTGCGGGACCTCTGGGCCTGAAGGGCCGGCTAACTTGGGCAAGCTCGTCACACAGCCAAGAGAAGCACTGTGGCCTCGGGGTCGTAAGGGCAGGTCCGGGTCAGAGGCTGGGTGCGAATCCCAGCGCCACCTCGTACCCATGTGGGCTAGGCTGGGTTACTCCACCGCTCCAAGCCCTAGCTCTGTCATCTGTACAATGGGTCTGTCTGGTATGTCTCTCATTGAGGGTTTGTTGAAGAGATTACGTAGTAGAAATGGATGTAAATTGTGCAGCACAGGGGAGTGGGTAAGAGAGGGCTGCTGCGGTCTCCACTGCTGTTATGGAAATAACCTCCCACCAAATCCCTTGAGCTACGATCCCTTTCGGCCCCAGGAAGGTGAAATGCTGCAGCTGCGAGAAGGCTGGTGGAGCAGATGCTGACATTTTACTTGCTGCCACCTCCCACGAGACAGCCTCATCCCAACACAGCCAAGTCCCAAACCAGTGCCGCAGACGCGGCTCACACCCAGGCTGCCAGCCCGGGGCAGCTCTGAGGTTCAGCTAGAAAGGCTCACTGATGATGGGAAAAGCGGCGAGGGGCCAGCTGGGGCAGCCTGGCAGGTGACAGGGCACCAGAATGCACCGCACGGAGGTTCCTGTGTGCCTCAGTGACCGGGGGCCCAACACACCCAAACCGCCTCTCAAACTGAAACTTATGAGGGGAAGGTATACACACGAGTCACAGAGGGCTGGGTTCAAATCCTAGCCCTGCCGTGCAGTATGAATGCTGATTTGATTGGTGCATCCATTGGCTCGTCTAAGAACTGAGTAAAGAAATGCACTGGACCGATTGTTCCCAAGGCTAAACAGAAAATCATACGCGCCCTCTCTGGCCATCGCTCTTGCCTTATTTTCTGCTGTTTCATAAGAGACGCATACAGACAGAACAAAACAATTTGGTTGGTTAAATACTGTACATTACAATAATCACTTACAGACCTATATCTATGCAATGGCGTGAGAAAACCAACTGGGAAACAGTACATTAGTACAGTCGTTTTTCCTGGAAGAAAAACTATAAGCTAATTAAAATAAAAACACTTCAGGCCTGGCATGATGGCACACGCCTATAATCCCAGCACTCGGGAGGCTGAGGTAGGAGGATCGCTGTGAATTCGAGACCAGCCTGAGCTACATAGTGAGTTCCCGGTTAGTCTCAACTACATAGTGAGACCCTGTCTCAAAAAACAAAAACAAAAACAAAAAATAAATAAATAAAAATACTTCTAATCCCCATTTTAGGGTTAGAAATCAAAACCCGGAGTAACACACAGCAAAGCAGAAATGTGACTTTTTTCTTGGGCATGGAGGGATGGAGGGAAGAAAATACCTCACTTTATGGATTTCTGAGCACCCTGAATTTATTTTTAATGTGAGTATGTACTGCTTTTTTTAATCTGAAAGACAACAATAATTCCAGCATCACTTCAGGCAAGGACACACCCTGGAATGGGGGTGACTCCATTACAGTGAGGGTTTCTGGGTTTTGCCCTGATGGACCTGAGTGTCTAAAGCCAGCAGGGACCCAGAAAATCCCTGATGTGAATGCAGGAGAGCAGATACAGGAGGGCCTCGAACACAGGAAGCACAAGGCTCTCCCCTGGGGGCTGACACACTGGCGGCCTGGCCCAGAGGGGTTCCCGCGAGCTGGACTTGGAGGAACAGGCCTGGGGTGGCTCCAGAGGCTCACCTGACGGTCATCTCATACAGTGTGGGCCGCTGGGCGAAGTCCGAGTGCATGAGGCTGACGGCCTGGAGGAAGTGGCGGTCCTGGGCGGAGGCCACCGGGGGAAGGTTGGCTTCGGGGAAGAGGACACAGCTGGTGAGTAGCGGTTCCTCCATTCCCACAGGACCTGGTGGGTGGGCTCGAGGCTCGGGGTGGGGCTGACGAGGAAAAGGGAGAGGAGCAGACAGGGTGCCACCACGCCACCATGCTCTGCCTGTCCCCAGGGACCGCAGCAAGGTCTTACCCAGGGACTTCAAAATCCTAGGCAGACCATACCTGAGGTATCTGAGCAGGAGGGAGTTCCTCTCACAACACGGGGGAAACACCATGCAGAGACAAAAAAGCCAAGGGGCGCTGGCTGGGTGGGGCTGGGTTCCCAGGGACGGCACCCTGTCCCGGGGTCAGGCACTGTGGCACAGTCCCGAGGTGTCCCGCTCTGTGCCCTGTCAGCCCCTTACCCGTGAGCACATTCTGGATGTGGTCATGGTGCACGAAGCTGTAGGTGCCGGCTGTGGAGCCAGCCTGGTCTCTGGGCAGCGTCTCCTTCAGGTGCACCTCCAGCCCGTTCAGGGATGCCAGGCTGCTGTGGTACTGCGGAGGGCAGGGGCAGGGTCACAGGCAGCAGCACTGGCCTTGAAGCGCTCACAGAGCCTCCCTCTGACCTTGACCTGAGTTAAAATCCCTGAAGGTCTCAGAGGCTCTTTAATTTAGCCAAAATGGACTTTGACCAGTGCTTCTGCCTGTTTTCAGAAAAGCACTAACTCACCCTATGTTCTAATGTTTCTAAATTAAGGAACATATTTTAGAAAATAAGAAGAGAAGTGAGCAGAAAACTAAATTGAAGAAGAAAAGAAAGCAAAAAAAATGGCACGTGATCTCACGGTAGCCCCCACCATCACACCTCCCCACTAACCCTGGCTCCCCGGGGCAGTGCGTCCAGCAGTGCCACAGCCCGGGACCATCCCAGGGGCTTTCAGCTGGGCTGCAGTGAAGTCCTCCAACAGACGTCAGGCCCTGACATCTCTCCAGCGCGCTGAAACTGGTGCCATTCCTAGGAGACTGACAGAGTCACCCTGCTCCCTTGCGTTGGCTCAGGGAGGAACCTAATCGAGGGCAGCTACCAGGGAGATGATGCCCCCGCACCTGCATTTTTCAGATGAGTAGTGTGTAAATCCAGCTGTAACACTATACCTTTTCGTATAATTTTTTTATATAAAATAAAAATGGGATCAAACCACGGCTCTAACCTAATGATATAGCATGAGCTACACTCCTGGTCCTTAAATCCTCTCCCGCATCACTTCCTCATGGGCACATGGTGTTCTAGGCTGAGCGGAGGGCCGGCCTGAGGACGTCAGGGACATCCACGTAGGCTCCACCTGAAACGGGGCCTCCTGGGGTTGTTTCAGCTACAAGACCACAGTCCCTGAGCACCAAACGGCTCCAGGTAAACACATTTGAGCTCAGCGACTTCCTAGTCAGGTGACCAGAGCCAAGCTACTCCGTTTCCTGAACTGCTTTCTTTTTCCACCAGCAAAATGGCTTAAACGGAAAGGGCAGAGTTATGTGAAAGCTGTGTGCTCAGGAGAGGAGGCAGGCACAGTCTCCCATGACCAAGTGACCTGGATGCCCTGACCCAAGCTGAGCGCAGCAGATCCTCAGGAGCCTCCCATGTGGACGGGCATGTGTGCGCACATTCACAAGCACACGGGGACCCACGCGCGCATTCCCATGAGGTCAGACCACATCCTCACCAGGAGTTTCACAGAGCCACTGTGCCGTGCCAAAACCTGGCTTCCCTGTAGGCACTGAGCTCTGCTTCCAGAATCTTCTAACTTGTCCTCGAGATAAAATCACTTAGCCGCAAACAGTTAACCACAAGATGTTACGTCAGACGACATGGTGGACAATCTGTATTGACAACTAAGTGCTCTCGTTGACACCAGGAGTCAGCAGACTAGAGCCTATGAGCTAAATAAACACAGCCCAATGCCTGTTTTTGGTACAGCCTGAGGAGAACGGTTTTTCTATGACGTTTATATTTTTATACAGTTGGGGGAAAATGTATAATACTGTGTGTGATATGTGAAAATCATCTGAAGCTCCAACGTCATACTCATAAAGTGCTTCCGGCACACATCCACACCAGCTGTTTCCATATCATCTGTGGCTGTTTTCGTGTGGCAGTGGCAGCACCGAAGAGCTGTGCAGAGCTCAAGAGAGCCGCTTTGAGGTCTTTACATAAAGTTCACCCACCCTGATACATAAAGCGATCCTCCAAGCAGCCCTAGGAGGTGCAGATCTGGGGCTAATTCCTGGGCCCCTGACTTCCAGTCCACAGACAGCAAAGGGCTGGAAGGCGTGGGGACTGTGACACGCAGAGGCGGCAGCACAGGGCACGTGCATTCACGGAGGCACAGTGGCACAGGTGGCAGGGGTGCACGTCCATACAATATCTCACAAAACACTCTCACCCTAGCTTCCGGCCTTGTCTACTGCACATGGACAGCTCCGTGGTCTCACGGAGCAATGAATAATAGATCTGACCACAGTATCTGAAGGTCACTGGGCTGATCCTGGGCTCCAGGCAGGAAGCTATGGCAGCAATGGCTCTATGCTGCCCCCTGGTGGGGCCCTACTCTCCCTCTGCACCCAAGCCTAGCCTGCCAGGCGCCTGCTCGCTGTTCTTCCTTCCTCCCCCTCTGCAAACCTACAAGTCAAACCCAGCTGAGTCACTGAAAGACAAGCTGACCACATGGTGTGGCGGCACCTTGGCCAATCACATCCAGGACCCCTTTCTAAGGGACTGTGCCCACTGTCTGTCCTATCTGGCTATAGCCGACGACTCAGCAGGTCAAGCATTTTCTGGGCAGGTCTGGGGCACAAAGGCAGTAAACAATCTCCTCCAAGTATAAAACACGCTCTGGGTCTGACTGACAAACTCACTCTCAAACCGGCAGGCTGACCCAAGTGAGTCAGCCCTACTCTTTTCGGAAAAGACTAGCTCTTCCTCTCCCATAAAACCTTTATTTCCTGGGGCAGATCACGGATGGGCCTCGGCAAGGCAAGTGCCACGCGCCCCTAGCAGGAGCCACAGAGGGCAGAGCAGTCACCTTCCTTCGCCTTCCACCTGCCACAGCAAAGGCAGAGGAGTCGGGACAGAGAGGCCGAGGCAGGGCAACAAGAAGCCAGCAAGAATCCGGGACCTCCTACTTGCGTAAGATCGATCTTAAACAGGCCCAGCAGTTTTGCAGGTGAGACGGGAGCTGCAAGGGGCGTCTCCCCTCAGGACCGTTTCAAAGCTTGGCTCTGGAGTATTTAGCATACAGCTAACGCAGAACACACTTCCTCACAGAGCAGCCTGCGCTACTTGTTTCTTTTGGGAAAAAGGAAAAAGAAATATGTCCACATACTGCGTCCCACACTGGGCCTTCTAAATAACATGTCCAAGGCTCGGCGCAGAGCAGGAAAGATGGTGAAAACTGAAGCAGTAAGATGAGATGCGGGCAGCTGCAGCCCTATCCTCCTTTGCTGTTACAAGAGAGATGGGTGAAGTGACAGCAGCAGAGGATGAGGACAGAGAAAGCAAAGGAGCCACAACTTGGTGCCCCAGGGCCTGCAGAAAGAGGACTGATAAGCCAGGGCCCTGCAGAGAGCAGTCTCCTGCTAGTGGCTCTGTGCAAAGGGAGCTGCTCACGGCCTTCCCTCCTCCTCCATGCCCCAAGGTGACTTGCTCATTTAGGAAGGTCACAAGCCCTGCCTGCTAATAAGATCGGCTTAGAATAACATAGATTCAAGAATAAAAACAAGCCGAGCCCCCAAGACACCATTTGCCCTGCAGCAATTTCAACCTGCTGTTCTTCCTGCTACCACTTTTCTTGCCAACTAAAGCAAGGCTGTTACCATAGCAACTGAATCTCCAGCGTGGGCCCGGACCCTTCAGATCATGGCTCTAAGAGGGGAAGGGGTTGGAATAGTTTAAGAAGAGCCCTCGGAGCCAGTTGGGATTTCAGATGTTCCACTTTGGATCACCATGATTCAAAGCCGGGGTTATGGAGGGAATGAGGGGTTTCCAGCAACTCCTACCCTGGCAGAGTGCTGCGGAGCAAGGATCCCAGTCAACGTGGAATCTACAACTGCCCAGGCTAAGAAATGAGGCCAGAGCAGGAGCAATACAACGGCAACACACGCAGCCTTTGCCTGCATTGTCTCGCTGCAATGTGGAAGAGAAGGCCCAGCACCACCGTGTGCTACTGGTAAGAAAGCAGAGACTCAAGAGGGCAAGAGCCTGTCTGCAAGATCACATGGCTGGAAAATGACACAGCCAGAAGGCCAACCATCCAGGGAACTGGAGGAAGCAGAGGCAGCAGAGAACCAAGACCCAGATGCCTCTGCTCCAGTACCGTGTCTCGGGCATGGCTTACCCCAGACAAACACCAAGGAGGCTGGCACTGCCATCACCCCCATCCCATCAACAGGGAGATTCTACCCCGGGTCACACAGCAAGCGGCTGAGCCAGCCCGTCCATATCCTAGCAGGCCACCAGAGGGCCGAGGAGGGGATCTGGAGACACTCACCACCTCCTCGATGGCTGTGCTGTCTCTCAGCAGCGGTGCCTCGGCCAGCAGGGACAGCACCAAACCCTTAACACTGTGAGTGTAGAGGTTCAGCTGCACGAGTCTCGGGCCCCCTACTGGGCTTAGCCTGGAGTCAGCTCTGTCTGCAGAGGGGCCATCACCCTGGGAGTCTGCTGAATCTGAAACACATTCTAAACCAGTGGCTGCAAGGCTCTCGCCAACTCCATCAACCTGCTGATCTACACCTTGGTGCCCCGAAAGCAGCTCGCTTCCTCTCTGCTCTGGGTCTGGGTGAGGCGACGGTGGCCCGCTGGGCTGTGTGGGGCAGGGGTCTGTCCCAGGAACAGGGGTGTAGCTGCTGGTGCCAGGCAGGTCTTCGTGCTGCTCTCGGGCTCCATTCTGGGCGAGCACATCCAGTGAGGAGGAAGGGTGGGGGCAGCCGGTGGCCATGCCCTCAGGAGGCACAGGCTCCAGGTGGTTGGCATCACGGACAGAGTCCTTGAGGTGAAGACCTCTGTCACCTGGGGCATACACTTGCAGGAGGGCACAGTGACCTGAGGATGCCCCTCCTTCCTGAGCTTCTGCAATGTGGATTTCAGACAAGTCAGTCTCCTCCTGGAGAAAGCCTGGTCCCTGGTGCAGGAAGCAGCTGAGGCCAGGGACCTGGCCCTTGGCAGTAGTGTGCAGTCCTGTGGGCCCCCAGTCCTCCACCTCACCGGCAGGAAAATGTCCATTCTCTGTCTTACCATTTGGCCACACTCTGTCAGGGTACACGGGCCCCGGGGTGGTGGCTGACATCCGAGCCCAGGCAGCCTCTTTTTTTAAAGCAGATGTGCTCCAATCCTTTGCAAGACGCCGGGCCGTGCTGTCCTGAAGCCTGGCTGGCCTGGTGAACAAGACACACATAGGCGGGGCACACTGACTGAGCAGTTCCGTGGGAGACGAAAGCGCTGCTTCCCTAACTGGGACAAGGTCAGTGACAAATGGGTGCCCGAGGCCACAGGGCCTCAGACGACACCATGTTCAAACCACAGGAGTAGAAGAAGGTACCCCTGCGGCATCCCAGCATAAGGCCAGGACCCCTGAGTGACAGCCATCCACACCTGGAGGGTCGCCTGGGAGGCACTGTCACAATGAACATGTGACAGAGACGTGGAAGAGGTCGAGGATTTGGGCCCACTCTCAGATCAGCACCTTCACGACGCCTGCCTCTAACACAGAACAGGGAGGGGTGGGACCGAGGAGGGAAGGGAAGCAGCAGGTTTTCTTCTGATGGACGTGTGAGCAAGTCCCATGCATGTGCAGTGAGATGAACCCCTGGATGATCCCTGCACTACCTGGGCATCTGCTCCACCGGGAACTCATGGAGACTGGCAGCTTCCTCTTCGGTCAGGAAGACGGGGGTGATCTGGACATTCGGGGGGAATGATGCTCCTGGAATTGCAAAGCAACATGGGCAGGGCTCTCCCTGGGCAGGAGGAAACAGAAGAGCAAAAACAGTTCCTAGGGTGACACACCCAGCTCAGAGAGCATGCAGGAAGGTGGATGTCAGCCCAGACACGAGCCAAAACTGCAGCTCAGGTGCTGTGAACAGCAGGGAAAGAGCCCTTGCAGACAGCACTATCCCAGCTGGGTGGGATATTCAATGGAAGAAAGTTTAGTGCTACTTAATTTAAAAAAGACATAAGCTAGGAAAAAAAAAATGCTTCCAATTGACAAAGGGATTGCCCCAACCTAGGCTTCCAAGGGGAGCCAAGTCCTCTTGGGGATACCACCAGAGCCTGCAAAAGGACCTTAAGGCAGTCCCCAGAGCCCTGGCACCTGTCTGAGCAGTGTCACAGCACTGAACTAAGGAAGGTCTGCGTGCAGGAGTCTGGAAGGCATGAGCCTGACAATTAGGATTCTGGGGTATAATGCTGATCCTGAGGATCCTGAGGATCTCTTAGATCCGTTTCCCTAATCTTATGAGCAGAGGAATTAAACCTAAGGGACCAGCTGTCCTTGACATGGCTTGTCCAGTGAGAGGCAACATAGGAGTGCCATCCACAAAGCCCACAGCTCAGTGCTCCACTTACCTGGGTCCTGTGTTGCATCCCCTGCTGCAGGTAATCTCTGAAAACAGACACACACACAGGTTGGCACTGGGCGCGATCCTCCCCTCTTACCCTAACCATCAGGAATTCATGCCATCTGTTCACAGGCTCTTGCTAAGCCCAAGGAGCTTGTCCCAGCCATATACCAAGAGCCTGGCAGATGGAGCAGAGCTCCCCTAAACTGCTTGCCCCACCACAGCTAGGAGGAGGCAAGAATCAGCCTGCTCAGGTAGCGCCCACCTGAATCATGCACTGCTCAGAGTTCTGATTTGCTCAGTCTCTCCCTCTGGGAAATAAGCAAGAATGCGCGGTCTCTTCTGTATCACGGGGAACTCATTCTAGAACCAAAATGTGCCAGTCCTGTGACTTATTCAAAAGGTTCCGACCCGAACCCAATGCTCTACCAGACCAGATCTCTTGCTTATTTTGGTTCACAGCCAAGGCCAGATACCTTGGGATTGTCTAACAAGAAAACAAAAAACCTGAAGATGCCAAAAGCACCACCAAAACAAAATACAAACCAAAACTGCTCTTCTGGCCAAAATGACTGTCACTCCTATGAAATCGTATGGTTTCCTCTCTTCTTCAGTGATTTCAAAACTCATCTTAAGATTACTACACCAAATAAAAGATTAGTCTAGACAAAAATTCTTTTTAAAAGAAAATCACACATAATCCTTTATCCTCAAGCTAATAAATGTTAACATTTGCACATTTTTCCTTAAATTTATGCATTTTTCTTACTTTTGAGACATTACATGACATCTGGCTTTTCAGCTGAGTCAGTTTTCTGCACTCTTTAACCTCAGCCCTCTAGGAGACTGAGGCAAGAGAGCTACAAGTTCAAGGCCAGCCAGAGGCTATAATATCCCTGACTTCACGCCCAGTACTAGAAAAAAAAAATCAATTTGTCCACTTAAAACAGTAACAGGTAATTCCTGTTTTCAAAACATCTTCGGCCATTTTTAATGGCTGGCTCAAATCTTATGAAGCTTAAAGTGCTATGGGTAAATTAATTATTTCTTGACTGTAGGCCAGAGGTTGGCCAACTTCTTCTGTAAAAGATAGGATGATATGCAATTTCATCTTTAAAAGCCATGTGACCTTGTCCCAAGATTCAGTTCTGCCACTCTAAGTCAACAACAGTTCAATAAAACTTTATTTGTATGCAGTTGACTCACAAGCCAGTTTGCCAAATCCCACCTTAGACATTTTTCAGGTCCACAAATCCTGCTGTGAGAGAGGCTCCCCCACCCCTCACAAACAGAAGCACCTGGCGATGACTGCAGCCATCCTTCCCACACAAACACAAACACACACACGTGGCCATCGTTTCCAAAATCCCAGAACAAATGCACTTCGTGAACTGAGGTGCCACGGTACCGGAAACCAAGCCCAGGGCCTACACAAGCACTGAAATATATCCCTACCCATCCATCCAGTCACTCACTCGGTACTGGGCAGGGAGCTCAGGCCTTCACTTCACACTCAGCTGCCTCCTCAGACCTTTTCTGTTTTGAGATAAGGTCTCTCTTGCGAACTGCTCTGGCCAGACTTGAGACGGTGACCCTCCTGCCTCGCCACCTGAGTAGCTGGTATTACAATTGTGCACCGCCAAGCCTGGCTTAGTTTTTAAATTTTATTTTGACACAAGGTCTGGCTTCAAACTTTCCATCCTCCTGCCTCAGCCTCCAAAGTAGCTGGGATTACAGGGGAATGTCGCTGCACTGGCTAACTCTAACAGTTTTGAATATGAATTTTTTTTCAGCAGTTAGAATTTTCCCTTAGAATAGCTCTTAAGAAGTAGATTTCTAATAATTCTTATTACAATAACAATACCTTTATTATATAATTATATTATAGTACAATAATAGCTTATGACTATTAGAACATCCTTAAAGCTTCCCCCATCAGCTGTCTACCAGAAAGGGTGTTCTCACCGACACCCTACCAGAGCAGGGAGGAGCCTGGAGAGAGGCCATCAGCATTTCACATGCCTGCTCACTTCACAAGAGAGAGCTTTATGCAACACCGAAACCACACTTGCATACCCTAAGATACACAAAAGAAAAAAGGACTGAAAGCCAGGTACTACTGGTGGTTACCTCCATGTGGCCCAAGTGCGGGCAACTCTATTCCCAATGATTCTTTTTTTTCCCCACTGCAAATCCAATTAAATAAATACCAACTGAAGTATTATAAGAACCACTGTTTTCCTAAGTTTTTCAAAGGACACATTCTTAACAGTGGGTCTCTGAAAAGTCTCACATTTCTTTGACAGAAATGTCACCTCGATAGTGAGTCAAATTCTGAAAGCAACTAGTCTGAGGAAAAAGCTGCTATCCAAACCTACCACAGGGAAGAAAAGGCTTCCTTTCAGCCTTATCAATGGCTTTAATATGGAGGAAAACCGCACTAACAGACCAAGGGTCCTGACAACATTCAGTCTAAAAAGTACCCCAGGCCTGTCCAGTGCTTGGGATTGGTCCCACCAGATGTGGTGACAGACACTGTGGGACTGTCATCCTGGCCAGGTGGGTAAGGGCTGCAATACCTGGTCCAGAGGCGCAGGTCTGTGAAGCAGGATCTTGGCAGTGAGGGAGGGCGTGAGCTGGGTGCTTACAATCCTACAGGTCAGACACAGAAACAAGAGCACGTGAGAAGAAACACTGGAGCCCTCTGCGTTTAAAAGATGCTTCGTGTTCTAGCTGGACATGGATGGTGGGAGTTTCAACTGGTAAAAGCCCTGATGAGGGGTACTCTGACAGTTCCTACCAACAGTTAAAATGTCTGGTAAACCTTCTGACCAGGCTTGCACCACGGTGTAAGTATAAGAATATTCATCACAGGAAAAATGGGAAACAAATAAACAACTAAACGTCTGTCAGAAAGATTCATTAACAAATCATGGGATAGCCAGATCACCGACCCATGCATGGCCTTTCCAAGAGCAGATGGACCAATGTGGCCTGGTAAAGAAATCTCTTCTGTGTACACTGAGCAGAAGAACCGCGTGAGCAGAAATAAGCAAAGTCAATACATGTGCCTAAGTACAGGGTGGGATGTGTACAGAAAGAGCCTGGATGCTGGTCAGATGCTAACTGTGGGAGTGGGCTGAGCGTGAGGAAGACAGAAAGGGAGCTTTCCAATGTGTTCTGTATGTTTCCCTGTTGGCAGTGTTTTTCTCTTAACAAGAAGAGAAGTTCAGTTCTAGCCATACAGTTTTTAAATATACAGGAAATGTAAAATAAGGGGAAGATGCTCTCTCTGACAGCCATGTCTTGGTGAGCTTGGCAACCCTGCAAGTTGAGGCAGAGCCATCCTGCTGAGAACAGAGGAAGGGGACCCAGGGGATAAGGTGCTTGGGGACTGTGCTCAGTCCTTCCACATCTGCTGAGTCACTTAATTATCCACACAAGGTCTCTGTTTCCCAGAAGAGAAAACCAAGGTTAAGCAGGTTGTCCAAGGCCAGACGCTGGGAGGAAGAAAAGCCAGGGTTCAAAGCCCAGCCTGTCAGGCTCGAGAGCACTGCCGTCAAGAGCCCTCCCAGAAGCACCTGGAGGGCTCCTCAGCTGCACAGTTACCCGGTGAGGAGGGCCCTCTGCGCTCCGACCCTGGCACGAGAGCAACTCTTGGTAACATCTGGAGTGGCTCTCAGACACTCGGGCTCACAGAGAGGACCTCTGGCTGGGTGAAGAGGTCTGTGAGTTCTCAGAGGCCCGTCAGGACGCAGACCTGAGCCCTGAGCCCGAAGGAGCTGGGGAAGAGTGTGTGAGGCTGTCTTGAAGCTGATCTGCAGCTGGTGCACTGGGGTCCCAGGACACAAGGTGAAGGCCACTGCAGCCTTCATGGCCCTCTGCTTACACTGCAGGCTGCTACCAAGGCTAGAGTTCCACACTGACATCCTGTGACAGCCACAGAGCACGTCCACACTGAGAATTCTGCGACCCCTTTCATAGGTCCACCTTTCCTGAACATCATCATCTTTAATCCCTGGCTGTGCTCAAAGACAGGGACATACCCTAAGCCAAATCTAAACAACCCAATACAGTATAATGGCACCTCGGTTCATGAACGCTTTTGTTTGCAAAGAATTTGGTTCGCAAACAGAAGCATCTGGCAAAATTCTGTCTTTGTTTGCAAACTCTGCATCAGAGGACGAACATGACCAGGGCCTTCATTCCTGCACAAACTTGATTGGCCGTCTTTTCCAGAATCATGGTACAAACTAAGTTCCTGAGCTGCGGGACGACTGTATGTGCCACACAAGCTCATGCAGAACTGACCAGAGACTGAGCTCCCCGCCTAAGAGCTGGAGGCGGCCAGGTGGTCAGTTCTGCAGTAGGAGAATGTGACAGAGGAGAGGGGCAGGTATTACTCACAGTCCTTTATAGAGGATGCAGCCAGCTAGAACGTGAGGTGTGCGCTGGCAGGTCTGTAAGATGAGGGCTGCCTTCAGCAACAGCAGGGGCTCCACCTGCGCAGGGCAAGACAAGTGCCCACCCATTAGCATGCTCACAATGCAACAGGGACACAAGGGCAGCGGCTTTCATGAAGAGACCGGCAGGTTCTAACTCAAGGCCTGGAGAAGGAGGCGTCCCACAGTCAGACCCCTGTCAAACCTTGCGTCTGATCTGCACTCAGTACCGATGATTGCTGACACCAGCAAAATGCCAAACGCTAGGCACAGGAAGCCTCTCCAGAAGCTGAAAAGCATAGTGCACATGCATATGGCTACTGCTGGGGACAAAGCAGGGAGATCTGACTACCGATGCCAAAATGAGATGGCAGCAAGTCACACTGCCAAGTAAAACCCACCCTGCAGAGCAGCCCCAAGGGAGACAGCTGGCTTCACTGACCAGGTGCTGTCGCTCGATCCTGTTACATAAGGGAAAGCACCACAGCCTTTCACCAGGCTGATGCAGCTTGACTCAACTCCCCGTGAGGACTCAGCTGCCTAGAAGTTCCTGAAACTACAAGAAAAGCATCTGAACCTGCTCAAAGCTGTCCAGTAATGCCCCACCTCCTCTTATCTTCACCTGCCTGCCTGGCAGCACGCCCCTGCAGATACCCACAAGCTGCTAAGACTCGGCATGACTGGAACCAAGTCCAGGGGCAGCTGCCACATGAGGAGGTTGTTCATTCTTTGCTGGCCTTAAAACTATCCAGTGCCAGCCAGCACCCTGAACAACTCAAGGCCAACTCCACGAAGTCCTCCCAACAGCAGCAGGGAAAACCTTTCCCTGTCTAGTGCTCTGTGAAGGCTGAGATCCAGCAGCACAGCCCTGTCAGAGACACATCTGCTTCTGCTGTGAGATGCAGGAGGCTCATCTGAGATGCTAAGGGCTCAGATAGCTTGTTCTTCAGGGGACAGGACACAAGCAGCCACAAGCAGCTTGGTTCCATTGAGTATCACTGGTCAGAGAATGGCTCAGAGAGGCAAACCACTTCCACACCTACCTGTCTCCACCCCACCTCTTTGTTTCGTCTCTGTCTCCCTCTCTCTCTTACACACACACACACACACACACACACACACACACACACGCACACAGTAAGCTTGTTTTAAAATGTAAGTGCTGGGCATTTCTGAGATTGAGAATAATTAAATCGGATGACTTTAACGTTGAGAGTAAAGGGGACCTTCAGGTTTCTGAGTTCAATACTGCTGGGGCAATAGCAAAATGGTAATTCCCTGTAGTGAGTACAGTAAGTCTCTGACTTACATTCGATTGCAAACTCCCAGATACAAATGGACCTCACATTACAAATATTCATAGTTGCAAACAAATCACAGAAAGCAGCTCATCTGTCTGCCAGATGTTGTCACAGTCATGCTGCTTCGTGCTTACTGTACAGTGCGATAGTGTACAGCAGTATGGTAAGTCAAAGCCCAGGATGTTTGTGTGCTTGGTGTTTAGTGCTTTATGTTGTATATGTGCGTCAAGGGTATATAAGACACACTTTGCTGGACTTACGAACATTCTCCTAGGATGGATCTTGTTCATTCAGTCGGGTACTTACTGTACCTACTTGGTGTCACTGAGGTACAGCCTCACTGTACCGTCAGAGCAGTCCTGCAAGGCTGGTCTCCCCTCACCAGTGTACAGAGGAGGGAAAGGAGGCTCTTCAAGGTGGCCTATCTTACTTCTGCTCAAAGAACTGGGAAGCAGCCTCAGGGAAGCTCAGAGCAGGGCTCACTGCCTGCCTGCCTGCCTAGAAGACAACATCCTCCAAGCACCTCTCTAGATGTAGCTCAGTTCAGCAAAGTTTTAAAAACTGTCCCGAGGCTCTGTTCTTATGCATTAAGTAAATAAGGAGGATGAAAATGTTACTTTGGTTTTATCCAGGTTCCAGAGGGAATTGAATATCTTATGCAGATCACCGGTGTTCTTCAGAACTTGCTCGATGAAAGTGTCCCACTGCAAACTCAGTTCCTCCTGAGAATGGTTCTAAAACAGCAACAGTATGAGGTCAGTATCCGACATCAGGACAGAGACTCTTCAGCAAGGACTGCAACTGTGCTAAAGAACATTCCACACAGGAAACTGGCTGCAGGGATGGGCTGCTCTATCTCTGCACACAAACACACCTGCTTCTCCCACCCTGATCTCCGGCCCCACCACAGAAGCGGAGCACCTGTTCATCCCAACACCCCGGGGAAGAGGGGTGGGGACAAACACTTGGGAACACAGGCATCTGAGAGGGGCTCCAAGGGCCCTCGACCCGGTCCCGGGCACCATACATTCGTGTAAAGAAGTGCTACATTCTGGCAGTTCCCCATGCCACACTCATACCTTATATGCCAGGGAAACTGGACCGTTATAAAAATTAAAGAATCCAATGAGCTGATCTAGGAACTGCTTGCAGCTGGTATCGGGGAGCTCCACAGCACAGCCCAGAACCTGAGAAGAGGAAACCCAGGAGGTCAGGCACTTTCCCGTTCTTCGAGGCCAAGCCCAGAATCCTGGCACGCACAGCTCTCCATTGCCCATCAAGACTGATCATCTACAGCCCAGAGCCCACACCTCTCACTACCACCGAGCTGATCTCCACAGAGAACAAGTCCTTCCTGTCCCTCTTTTCAGGGTGCCCTGCCTACAATGCACTTGTCCTTCCTGTTCACCTCGTCTCTCCAGCTGGATGAAGAGCTCTGAGAGCAGGACTGACCGACTCATCACAGTCCTAACCTCCAAAGTGCTAAGTGCAAAGCTGACAACCTGAGAGTTGGGAAGAAATCTGGCATACGTTCAAAGAGCCTGAACACACCGCTCATAGACTTGATTCTCCCTCTAGGACTCTGTCCTAATGGGATTTAGTCAGAAATTTAAACAAACAAACCTAGACAGAAAATGAGTAAATAAAAATTCTCTTAAATGTGAGCTTCAGGAAGGCAGTGTTTTCTCCTCTGAAGTGATCCAAGCGTTCAGCAGTCTGGCACACAGGAAATACTTACTTTCTCCCCCCTTCTCTATAAACCGAACGCCAATTCCAGTCATAGTTCCATCAGCTCTTTGTAGAAACTGGTAACGTGGTTTAACAATGGAATACAAATGATTTAAAATATCCAGAATTATCTTAAAAAAGAATAGGGTTGGAGAACTTATACCACGATAAAGCTACAGAACTCAAGACGGTGTGGTCCTTACACAGAACCCTCAAACAGATCAATGGAAGAGAACACAGGTCTAGAAATAGATCTGCACTTATTTGGTCATCTGATCTATGACAAAGAAGTCAAAAGAAATTCAACAGGGATAGGACAGTCTTCTCAACAATGGTGGTAGAATACCTGGATGTCCAAACAAAATAAATGACCCTTGACTTCTATTCACAACAACACAAATGATTAACCCAAGCTGGATTATAGACCTAAGTTTAAAAGCAAAATTATGCCAGCTGTGGGGGCTCAAGCCTGTAATCCCAGAACTTGGGAGGCTGAAGCAGGAGGATCGTGAATTCAGCGCCAACCTGGGATACCTACTTAGACCCTGTCTCAAGGAAACCCAAACAAAAATAAAAACTATACAACTCTTACAGATAAAAAGAGGCTAACGTGGTGGGAAATGGTTTCTTAGAATACAGAAAGTCATAAACCTTAAAATTAAAAGCTTTTGCTCATCAAAGAAAATTAATAGGCATGCCACAAACTGGCAGAAAATGTTCTTAAAATATTTATCTGACAAAGAACTACAACTGGTTAAAACAAGAAAACCCAACTTAAATAAAAGACAAGCACAGCTAGACATGATGGTGCACACCTACAATCCCAGCTCCGCGGGAAGCAGAGGCAAGAGGATCGAAAGTTCCAGGCCAGCCTGGGCAACTTAAGACTTTGTCTCAAAATAAAAAAGGCTGGGGATGTAGCTCAGTTCAAAGGCCCTGGACTCAATCCCCAGTACCACAAAGCAAAAAAGAATGAAAGAAAAAAGTGAGGAGCAAATGCTCTGACACGCTTCACAAAGGAAGACACACAGAAGGCCCTTGGCTACATGAAAGCACCTCCGCATGCTGGTTTGCAGGGAAATGCAAAGTGAAACCACAGTTAAGATACCAGCACAAGTTCGGCAGAACAGCTAAAATTAAACCCTGACGATATCAATGAGGAAGGGGAGTTCTCTGGGACTATTCCTGGTGAGATCGTACAACCACTTCAAAAAGGGTTTGGCAACTTCTTGTAAAATTCAACATACACCTTCCCTAGGATCAGCAGATTGAAAACACATATCCACAAAAAGACATCTACGAAGGCCGGGGATTTAGCTCAATGGTTCTGCCACCTGCCTTGCAAGCACAAAGACCCAAGTTTGATCCCCGGTACCAAAAAGACATCTATAAGAATGTTTCTAAGAGCCTTATTCTTAGTTTCCCCAAACTGGCAATGTCTCCAGCCAGCAAAAGGAGAATGACCAGACTGTAATATATTCAGGTAAGTGAATATTATTTAATAACCAAAAGGAGTGAATACTGATTAACATAATCTCACAAACATTAAGTGGCAGACATAAGTCATTTACAGCAAAGAACAGTACACTAAATACTGTTATGATATTCCAGAACAGGCCGAACTAATCTGTAGTGAAAAACTTCAAAACAGTGGTTGCCCGGAGTTGGAGTGGGCAGAACTAAGTGGAGGAGGACATGAAGAAGCTTCTAGGGCTGATGTGTGTGTTGCCAGGGACTTGTGTGGCACGAGCAGTGTTTGTCCACCTACATAAAATGGTACACTCAAGATTTATGTATTTCATCAAGTGAAAATTGCACTTCAAGAAGAAAGGAACCCTGAACGTGGACTTCAGTTAATTGCGTGTATGGTGAAGTATCTGTGGGTAGGAGAATACAATGACGTATCAACTTACTTAGAAGAGTATTTTTCAAACCTGGATTGAGAGGAGGATAAAAAGATGAACACAACGATATGTGACAGAGCAACTACAATAAAATGTGAACTGTAAAGGAGACATGAGTTTTCACTGTCACATTACTGCAACTATTCAGTACGTCACGGCGTTTCATAATAAAATACTGAACGCACTGATACCTACAAAGCCAATATGCCACCCACACTTGGTATTCCTTTCCTTCCAAAGCCTTAAAGGGCAGGCAAGGAAAAGTACGCTTTAGATTCAATGGCTATAAAAGAGTCTTTTTAATTTACATACCTTTAAAACCTAACCTGTATATATGAATGTCAGGGTTTTTATATCACTGGAAGTGTAGGCTACACAGAGTGCACTGGGAAGAAAAGATGGAAATAAAGACTCAATTTATTTCAACACAGAGCCAACAGAGTTTTCATAGGTTGGCCTAAGTCTTTTAAAGGAAGGGAGAAAGCAGCTGTGTGCAAAAAAGGGTAAGACAGAAATGTCTCGCAAAGAGTGAGGGGCACAGCACGTGCTCAGCATGGGCTCAATCCTCTGCACAAAGGAAAAACAAATGTTCTGCACAGCACTGGGTTATGATGGGCGCCTCAGCGACTACCACCTTCTGGAAGCGTGGATGCCGACTGGAAACAGTGCCCAGGGCAGGGAGAACACACTCCTGATTCAAGAGCCCCGATCGGGTGGGCCTGTCTGAGCTTACCCAGAGGTAATCCTCTTCAGCCTTTACAGCAAACTTCAGTCTCCGCAGGCGGATGAGGGTGGGAGGAGAGCCAGAAAGGTCAGAGACACACCGGACAACTCCAGCGATCTGCCCGCAGAGCAGCTCCTGACGGTCCAGGACGGTCTGTGAGGAAGAAGGAGATTCCAGACCAGAGGCTGAAATTCTTGAACTCCCGGGTCATTCCTCGGAGGAAACTGAAGCCCGAAGGCCAAATGAAGTCTGCTGGCTGTTTACACGCGGCCCAGGAGCCAAGAAATGTTTACGTATTTTTAAGTGTTATAAAAACAAAGAATAATGTGTGACAGAGCCCTTGTTTGGCAAAGCTTAACGTATTTACTATGAGGCCTTTACAAGTGTGTCAAGCCCGCTGGGGTGGCTGAACTGTCATGAAACAACAGCGCAGAACGCTATCTGTGTTCTGGGGGTTATAGGCACACACAATCCTTTCATCCCCACTCTAATCCCCTGCACAGAGCAGTCTGAGCAGCCTGGATTAATCCTGGTCATCTGAGTCACAGTGTAGTCACATGAGTGGACACAGAATCTCATCAGTCTTATCCCTCATCGAACTGTGGGGACAGCCAGACATGACGTGATGCCACAGAAAATGTATACACCATCTCTGAAGAGTTTCTGCCTGATAGAACTGAATGTGGATCTAATCAAGGCTCTAGAGTTCACTAATACTTTAAAGGAAATACAGCAGGTAAAAGATAGCACATGACATCACATGAGAAACTAATCAGCCAAACCCAGAGTGTGGGATATTCTAACGTTCTACCACACAAACGGCCTGATATCTTCAATAATTCAATGGCAAGGGGGGAAACAAAGAAAGGGTGCGTGGGCGAGGAGTGCTATAAATGGGCCTGAAAGTATAAAACAACCAGACTAAGTGGATGCTTTTAGGACTGACTAGGAAAGACAGAGAGAGAAAGCATGAAACAAAGACTAAAAAGAGAAGGGTGAAATCTGAATATAACCTGGGTATCATGATATTAAGGAATTACTACTACCAATACTGTAACTTTTTTAGGTGTGAAAATGTTTAATGCCCTGTCTGGGTAGGGATGGCACTGGACAGCGGTAAGATGACACAATGTCTAGAATTTGAGTTAAAACCATACAATCCTGGTTAAACACTGACATCAGGCGTCTCTGGGGATGGCACATGAGGGTTCATGATGCTCTCTTCTGTACTTTTGTACGTTTCCAAAAGAGCTTTTTAAAAATGAGCTGACCCTGGGCCGGGAATGTAGCTCCATGGCACAGTACCTGCCTCAAAAGAGCAAGGTTCCAAGTTTGATCCCCAGTACCAGAAAAAAAAAAAAAAAAAAAAAAAGA